ATTTTTCTCTTTTTAAAGGTCGAGAGTTTCTCAATTTCTGGGCTAGCAATACTGGTTGCAAGCATCCTCAAATTTTATAATATTATTATTAGAAAATGTAAGTAATAATATATGGTTGAACACTAGCATTCAGCTTTGGCATCACAGGAATAAATTACTTTTTAAAACATTAAAACGGTTATTTTAAATTGTAACAGTTTTCCGGTGTATTATTGTTTTTATTTTTGCTCTAATAAATGCAGCCTTGGTGAGCTTAAGAGTCTTCTTTCAAAAAACAGCCCCACACTTTTTTGAACAGTATTGTACCTCAGGAGTGAACACAGCAGGTGTGGCTTAATATTTGACATGTTTAATCCTCCCATTGAACCAATCAGAAACTGCCATTTTCATATGAAAAGCCTCTTCATATAAACTATTCAAATCTTTCACCAGCTATTTTGAAGAAAAAAAAATGTTATACAGATTTTGCGATAAGTTGCACAGATCTGCTGTTCTGTACATTATGGGGCCATTGAGAAAAATTTTAAACTTCTGTAATATAAAACTCCTTTAAAGTATCAGTATTAAGGATGTAATCTATTAAATGTTTCATCTCCACAATAATACAGGCATTGATCAGACATTATTACATTTCCAGCCTAGACAATGACATAAAAAATGCAAATTAGCGCAAAAAAAAAAAAAGGTTGTCTATTCAAGACTGACAGACATGAGGTGCAGAAACAACAGTGCCTTTCATTAACAGCAGAGAGAAGACCCTGCCATGCATCAACATGCCTGAGGTCCTCAAAACAAACTTGCAAACATTTCACTCTGGGGGAGAAAGTGGTGGTTTTTAAAGTAACTAAATTTGGTTTTAATATATAGTTAAAATGTCCACCAACAATTCCTAACCACTCACACAGGGGAATCACTGAATTAAGAGATTGTTGATCGAGGCACCCACAATTCATGTCACATTGCTTGCTGGTGAAGTTATGGAGCTTTGATGAATGGCAAGGAATGTTGTGTGGTGACAAGTTTTGGCTACAGTGTTCATTGTGAAATATTGTATGTTTCATTGTTTGTTTCTTGTGTATTAAAAGTATTTAAAGGTAAAAAAAAAGGTCGCCTACCAGACCCACTGAGCTCACATTGATTCTAAGCTCTCAATTGTTGCTAATTTGATTCTCAAGACCCGCCACATGAAATTGCATCATGTTATCTTAATGTTCATGGTCACATGTCCTTGGCTCAAAGCATTATGTTAAAAAAAAAGAAAAAACCAAGTCATTTATCATTCAGACTTACTTATTGAAAATTTAGTCATGATGTTTGCAGACATCCACTATTCCACTCAAATTAAAAGGGCTAACAATCATTTTCTAACAACAGTAAATGTTTAGAGTAGCATACTAAATCATAAGAAAATCTGCATAACATGCGACTGAAGGGTCCTGAAAGGATTTTGAAACAAAGCACATTGGAATCAATCTTTCTTGCAGAAATGTATGTATTTTGTAAACAAACCAATTGCTCTGGATGGTAGTGTTGCATAATCCTTTACCTTCCCACACAAAAACCATCGACATTTAGGTCTTGTGATTGTATGTTTTGAACACTCCCATCTTGCCATTCCAGTTTTACAGTGCTAAACATTGTTTGAGCCATTCACCAGAACAAAGGATGAGACACGGACTTTTACAACAGATTTTTTTCCCTTTGCGTAATGCATTAGAAAAATGACTTACACATGAGCATGACTGGAAAACATTAATCTGTAGTTTCAGTAGAAAAAAATTATTAATGCTGTTAATCCACTCAACATGGACTAAATGGTGTCAGCCTGTTTGGTAAATACTAGCCTGAATTCCACAGCTTGTTAAGAACACAGTTGCTCCAAAGATGATGGCGTTAATGGTCCTAATGACGTTAAGGAATCACTTGACCGCCAGTTTAACAGCAAAATGCAATCAAGTGTGGATTGGACTAGGAATATTTTATAGTAAGAAAGTCTAACGTAATGTTTATTATCAGTTATCTGCTCTGAAGTGAGCAGTGACACATTTAGTCTTACAATAGAGCTACGACTTGCCCTAAAAGACCTCATCACAGATTTTCAGACATCAGTTTTGTATGATCAGGCAAATGTGTTGTACAAAAAGAAAAACTATAGGTAAAGCTAAAGCCACAGACGTTTCACAGTGTAATAAAACTCAGCTCTTAAACCTGCATATCCCGTGGAAACCTATAAATGTGGAACACAGCCACTTTTGTAGGCTTAACTTCCTGCATTCCTTTCCCCCTGACCTCTAGAGAAAATTAAAGTTTCCACCAAAACACACATCTTCACTTCAACAGGCATGAAACTGCACGAATCACACTTGAGGGGGAAAATGTAAATGGACTGTGTAGATGTAGTTTTCAGCACGGCGATTGTAAACTTGGGTGCTGTAGGGCCACTATTGCAAAACTCACTGGTTGTTTAAAACATTACATGCTGCAATTCTTAAACTAAAAATCCACAAACATGCTCTACTGCACGTCAAGGAAAATTAAAAACAGATTATCATTACCTGGGCCAGACATGTTGAAGACAGATCTGAGATTTTCAGAGCCAGCGTCGGTTTACCAGCACCTCGATCACTATGCGGGGGAGAAAAGGTAGGGAAGTTGTGTTTGCGCTGGAAACGAGCAGAACAGGTCCAAAAAGAACTGAACTTCAAATGAAAAGATCAATGTTTAAATCTTCTAGTAGCATTTTAAAGGGAATATAAAAGAAATACGCAAATATTTAAGGAAATCCGTCTAGTTCTCGTTTAGAGAACTGTATCGTGCTCAGCTTTTTTAGACGAGAAACATACTGAAGCAATAACACAATGACTTCATTTCAAATGGGTGTGGCTACATTAGATTGCGTTTCTCGTATGTGGTCAAGTACTATTTCTTCACAAAGACAACAGCAAATACGCCGAAGGATTCGCGAAGAAAATTGAAATAGCCTTCTTGGCTTATAATAAGCATGCTGATAATATGGCTATGATTTATCTACATGCTTAATGAACAAAGATTCTGTTTTAATTACGATGGTCACTTTATCCGCAGTTCATCTATTATAATAGCAATCTAGCATACACAATTCCTGCAAAACGGTATTAAAACATACTCCATATAGCCGAGACTTCGAAAAAGGGGGGAAAAAACAATCCACCATGAATACTCACTTACATCTCAGCTCTTGAGAGGCAGATTTGATACTCTTCAAACAAGCCTTAGGAAACAAATTCTCCACAGAGCAGTTCTTGTTGCAGTGATTATTCGGATGTACGGAAAGGGGAAAGTTTTCAATAATTTCCTTCACTTTCCCTTTACACTTTTGCTAAAAAAGACACGAAAGCGTTTAAACACTATGCCCAAACATGAAGCCTCGCTTTCTCTATGAATCTCCTCCCCTTTTATATGACGCATGTAGATTAGAAACCTGAGAAAGCCACAAGACTTCTAAGCAACAAAGTTAAAAGAAAATGAGGATGTTATTGTGCATTTTGCGCAGCGTCGGCGCCACGGGGGGGCCACCTCGGTCACTGTGCCCCCTCACCTCTGTTGCCGTCTCCGTAGTGGGCGCCCTGATTTTAGTCGGTGAGGCAAGGTACTGCCCTGGGAAGGTTTCCCAGGCTGTTAAATACACAGATTAAAAGCGAAATGTTTTCATTTCGGTTCGTTCTTATACAAAAAAAAACTTTTTTTTTCGTTCAGGTTATGCAGAGCGAAATAAGAACGGTGCTGCATTTAGAAAGAATTCTTATTAAATTTGCTATTATTCTTGTATTTTCAAACTGGTAACACTTTGCAGTTTCGAACTATGCCTTTACTGTATGACCAAAAATGACGGAGTAGTCTATTTGATGTTTCAGCTGTTTGATCGCGCCGGCGCCTCACGCGCACGCTAAGCTACTGCATTCATTGGAAACAGCGCATCCGTTCACCGTGCCGTTCGGCGTGAGACCCGCTCCACAGTGGCATATTTTTGCTCATTATGATATTTTTCCGTCGATACTGGAACGCGCGTGAACTACAAAGCCTATTTGACCTAATAAGGCTAATAGTTTAGCTTCAGCTACATCGCGAATATGGACACATTTGGATTTGTGCCTGAGAGAGGTAAGCCCAACTTTACCTTACGTTTCTTTATAAAGTAATTTGTTTTGGCATGCTTATTGCTAAGCATATATTATTATATACTGCAATTATATTTATCCATTAGAATTATATATTTTTAAATTCTTATTCTGTTCTGATACGGTTAAATTTAAAGGATTTGTTGTAAAGTGAGTGGTTTACATTCACTTCTGGCTTTTTTGTCTTGATTGCAAATGTTTTTTTTAATTTTTTTTTTATGTACGATGGATAATTAAAACAAAAATTAGGCATGTGTATTTATAACATCAATTACTAGGCCTACATTCTTTTTTCCAGAAATGGAAGGAACTCAAAATGTTGTGTGTTTGTAATTTTAATATTTTGATCTATTGGCCTATACAGCAAAACTACAGAGCTTCCAGTAGGTTATTTTATGGAGCTGTAAACACGGGAATCTCCGACCGCATGCAATCTTTGACGAACACCCAATTCATATATCAAACTAGGCTATATGTTATTAAATTGTACATAGGCTATATATCAGATTATTTTATTTACAAGTTTCATGTTTGTGTTTATCCCGTTTTTTTAAATTACTTTCAGAAACTTTTTTTTTCAAAGCAGCACCCCCCCAATAAAATTGATCTCAATAAAATAGCTTAGAAACTGAAAAGTTCAAGCATATATTTCTTAATAACTAGTAAATTCCACAGGTTCACTACTAGTAGAGAGACGCTGCCAGGTAGAATTAATTCACACACGCAATCGCTCTCACTAATGCATTCATATTAATGTAATCTTTACTGTGCTACTTTATCTGTATCTGATTTAGAACGAGCAGAAATCTGTGAGAAATATAACGACCCAAAGACAAAATAACTGATAAAAAAGCTGTCGTAAGAGCAACAGCCAAGTGGGCAGCGCTGTGTGATATGCCATAGCTGTGCACAAGCTGTTTATCACAACTCCAGACTTATTTGTTCATTAATGACGTCATCAGCGACTAGTCGACTTCGACTCGACTTTCATCACATAAAAGTCGACTTCAAAAAATCGGAAGTCGTTCAACCCCTAATCTCCACTGTTTTTGATAAATCAGTAACATATTTTAGTTGCATGTGCATTTTATTTTATTTAAACCTCCATTAAGTTTAAAGTTAATTCATAATCGAGATTTAAATCGTAGTTTAAAGTTATGGTGCAACAGGATTAAAGTTAATCTTAAATATAACTTAAATCCAAGATCAAAATGATGGGTTATATTTGTAAACCTGCTTATTTTTTAAAGGTTTAATGTTTGGTGCAACATAATTATAAGATAAACCTTGAAATAGCCTATTAAAATTAATCATTGCAAACCATTTAGCTATAATTTGAAAAAAAAAATGCACATAGGCCTTTATGAAGTGGGCAAGCGACAATAGGCCTAATGATCATTTAAAATATAATTTGAACAAGTGTTTCTTTCACAAAATGATCATTGTATATATAACTATAAAATATACTAAATTTTTCTCCCTCTTCACCAGGCACTCATGTCACTTTAATTTCTTTCGGGATAAATGAGTGTGGATTCACGTCTTGTAAATCAGTCTGTAGGCCTATATCGCACATAGCCCCTAAATTTAGCGATTAACTATGCATATTATAAACTTAACATTTAACATACAACATTTTTTTTCTATAAAATGATTTTGTTACTCTTAGTTATAAAGGATGATAGCACAACATTTTTGAATGACTGTCTTCATGAGTTTGTCTGCATCCATATTGCATGTTTCCTCTCACTTGTAAAGTATGCTAGCAGTTATTTCTTCTAGTTCTTTCAAAGCAGTTCTTTCTGCGTTTCCACTCACATGCTTTTAAATCATTGAGATTCCAAATAATGGCTCATTGGCTTAGATATAACACCTAGAAGCATATATTTTTATGCACACATGCGAAGTATGATGCAGCTGTTATTTCTATGAAATTCTGCTGTCTTTTCTATTCTGTTACTAATAAAATAGTTTTTTCACTGCTTGTCCTATTTTGGCACAATCCCTAAATTGAACTTGAATAGTTTTACTAAGGGCACCCAAATCACATGAAATTTAACTATATCACACATATTCTACCTGCCTTCCTGATATAACTAATCATAATTAATCATAATATACACTAATTTGGGCAAAGAGCACTAATGAATTGTTTAAGACTTGAAGCTAAAAGTTGAGGACTTGCAACTCGACTTGGACTTGCCTGTCTTGACTCAGGACTTGACTTGGGACTTGTCTGTCTTGACTCAGGACTTGACTTGGGACTTGTCTGTCTTGACTCAGGACTTGACTCGAGAATTGAATGCAAAGACTCGAGACTTACTTGTGACTTGCAAAACAACGACTTGGTCCCACCTCTTGTATCTCTTATCACTTCAGACGTTTGTTCTATTCGACCGTAAGTGCCCTGCAAAGTGGACATCACTATTCCGGCATGATTCCAGTTCGCATTTGAATGTTCCATTCAAAGGGCATTAAAGGGTGCGAGACGTGAATTTAAATTGTATTTATTTACAGAGGTATATTTTGTCACACTTCGTACTTCTCTAGTAAGTTTCGTCTGTGTGTGAAGACGCTGCAGGCCGTGGTGTAGGAGATGGTCCTCACTGCAGAACACAAGATCCAGGGGGCGTGGTTGGATCCACATCAAGGGGGTGGAGATTGGTAGGTTTAGGGGTGGAGATGGGTGGGTTTAGAGATCAGGGGGTGGAGACTGGTAGGTTTAAGTATAGGTAAGGTGGGAGGAGTTGGATCTGGATCCAACCACGCCCCCTGGATCTTGTGTTCTGCAGTGATGGGCTACTGGGGTGTAGCGCAAATCCGTAAATGAATGTTCCGAAGTGAAGTATACCTAAACGGATTTCCTGTGCTCAGGGAGTAGGGAGCAATGAACACTGTAGGGACCAAGTCAATTGGAGCACAGTTCATGCATGGAAATTTGTGTATTATTCGATCATTCGTTTTTTTATTTAATATTGAAAGTAGAAAAATTAGAAAATGGCTCCTTTTTAGTTTTTTTGTTTTTTTTCCCAAAAAACGAAAAACAAGAATTCAGCTTAAATTTTCATTTTTCGTTCATGGGTGGAAAAATGAATAAACAACTTGAATATTCAATTTCTACACGTGGGCGGGAATTAAATGCCCCTTTCTGCTGATTGGTCAGCTGAAGATCAAACCGTGCCTTCATCAGTTATTCCGCAGTATCACGCAGCAGAATACAGGTGCATCTCAATAAATTAGAATGTCGTGGAAAAGTTCATTTATTTCAGTAATTCAACTTGTTTGTTTGTTTAATTAAGAAATTAATGAATTAATTTGTTTAAAAATAAATATTTTAAACACTAAGACAAAAGGCTTGGATATATATAGGCCTATGTTCACGCAAGAACTGTCATTCTGACTGACAAACAAAAAAAAACTAAAGTCACCAATCTCTGCCATTAAGTCAAGTCAAGTCAAGTCACCTTTATTTATATAGCGCTTTTAACAATACAGATTGTGTCAAAGCAACTGAACAGCATTAATTAGGAAAATAGTGTGTCAATAATGCAAAATGACAATAGTAAACACTCATTTTTCAGTTAAAGACAGTTAACACAGTTAAATTGGCAAGTGCGAGCAGGACATTTTTATAAGCCTTTAGAATAACATTAAGGTGAGTAGTCACTCTAGTTCACACAGTTCCAATAAATTGCGATGGGTTAAATAAACTCAATAAGCAGACAGACGCGACTACAGTCAAGCGCAGACCAGTATTGAAGTGCACAGGAAATAAGCAGCAGTCATATTTAAAGCAGTTTAAATTAATATTGAGTACTGATTGATCACTTGGATTTTTTTCCCCATCAAGGGGAAATAACTTAATATTCTGTCATTTATAGTCATATGGTAAAATGTATATTTTTAATTGTGTAACGTTACGTTCAAAATAACTGCAAAATATCATGCCTTTGAAAAATAAAGAGAACAAAAGAATGCGCTGCTTTAGCTCATCTCAGTCTCCTTGAGCATCTTTCTGGCGCATGCCACAAACATGAACCACAGGATACTCATCTTTTAAAAGGCTTCATTTAGATTATTTTACATTAAATGCATCATATATGTCACTTTAGAATAAATCACAGTAGGCCTATGTATCATGATAAAAAAAGCGACTTTACAGTCTGGTAATACTTTAGGCCAGGGCTGTCCAAACTCGGTCCTGGAGGGCCGGTGTCCAGCAGAGTTTAGCTCCAACCCTAGTTAAACACACCTGAACCAGCTAATCAAGCTCTTACTAGGCATAGAAACTTCCAGTCAGGTGTGTTG